CCCCCGCGCACATGGCGGCGCGGCGGCCGCATGTGACCGCCGTCACCTGACCAACATGGCCGGGGCCGCCCCCGCCGCCGCCCGCCGCGGCTGAGCCGCCGCCGCCAGGTAACGCGGGGCCGCCGGGGCGGTGAGGGACCCCACGGGGGGGATGAGGGCTCCTCGGAGCCGCGGGGCTCAGCCCGGCTCTGCGGTGCCCCCGCCGGTAGCGAGGGCCCCGACGGGCCGGGGCCGCCTGACCGACCGCGGCCGTGCTCGGGCTGGGTCCGTGCTCGGTGCTGGGAGCATCGCCTGGGTCGCCCCGCGGCCGCTCTCCGGGCCCTGCAGAGGTCCCGTTGTGTCCCCAGCACCGGGGTTATGCTGCAGATGCCCTCGTGTACCCCCTCCAGCTGCGGAGCTGCCGCTGTGCCCCCAGTGCCAGCCCTGTGGCTGCAGATGTCCCCCCCACATCCCATCCTGGTCCTTTTCACTTCTTGGGGCTGTCAATGTCCCATTGTGTCCCTCAAGCCTGGCGCTGAAGAGGTGCCATCACGTCCCGCTCCCCGGCTGTGGCTGTTCCATTGTGTGTCCCCCCAGCAACCCTGGGCCTGCAGAAGTCCTGTAATGTCCCTTCCCCCAGCGCTTGGATGTGCCAGTCCCCATCGTGTCCCCACCATGTGGCTGTGGGAGCCCCACCATGTCACCCTGCCAGGCTGCACAGGTCCCACCTTGTCCCTCACAGCCAGGGCTGGTCCCATCTCAACCCCCACGCACAGACCAAGCTCCTCACACCACCTTTTTTTTTTTTTACCCGAGTGCCGATGGGGAAGTGAGACTTGCCGCTCGCTGGGGCGGGCAGGGTGGTTCTGTGCTCTGCTCCCTCACAGCCCGTCTGGGCCACCTTTCTCCCAGCAGAATCCAGCATGGAAAGCTTCCTGCAGAGCGTGGAGAAGGACCTGAACATCGACCGCCGGCAGCTGGCCCCTGAGAGGACCCACGTCACCGCCTTCGTGCCGGCCAAATGGCTGCAGAGCCTCAAGGAGCGCCGGCTGCTGCCGCCGGCCTGCCCGCGGCCCGAGGGGCTGAGCGAGGTGGAGCTCAGGACCTTCCTGCAGCACTCGGTGCAGAAACTCCCGGCGGGCTGGACACGGGTGGAGATCCACGGGCTGAGGAAGGCCCGGCTGGGGTACCCGCTGCTGCGGGCGCAGCCTCCTGAGCAGCAGCGTGGCAACGTGGACACCCTGCACGGCTTCATGCAGAGCGTGGCCACCCAGAACTACCACAACCTGTGGGGCCGGGCTCACGGGATGTACGTGCGGCCCTACCGGCGCCCGGACGCGCCGCCCACGGTGCCGGCGCTGGACGCGCTGAGGGCTGCCCTGCACAGAGCCTACGGCTGCCCCGTGCTCCAGGTGGGCAGGAACGTGCCTGGCACGTCCCCCGCCAAGGAGAGCGTGGCCAAAGGGGTGTCCTTGTGCCCCAACGTGCTGCAGGCTGAGGCGCTGCTGGAGTCGGCGGACATGCTGTACATCGTCTACCCCTATGTGCAGTACTGCCTGCACGACATCGTGACCTTCAGCCCGGCCAAGCTCACCAACAGCCACGCCAAGATCCTCTTCCTCCTCTTCCACGTGCTGCAGGCCATGAAGGCTTGTCACCAGGCGGGTCTGGCTTGTGGAGATTTCTCCCTTCGGGACGTGGCTGTGGATGAGAAGCTGTGCAGCCGGCTGCGTGTGAACTTCAGGGGGTACGAGGGACCGGGGGAGGAGGAGGAGAATCTGGAACGAGAGAGCAAGCAAAGCTGCGTGCAAAGGCAGGAGGGGACGTGCAGTGCCTGCCAGAAGGACCTCCGAGACCTGGTGTTGCAGTGGGTGCACGGGCAGGTCAGCAACTTCGACTACCTTATGCGTCTGAACAGCCTGGCTGGGAGGAGAATGGGAGACCCCAATTACCACCCGGTTCTTCCGTGGGTGGTGGACTTCACTACCAAAAACGGCAAGTTCAGGGACCTAAGGAAATCCAAGTTCCGTCTCAACAAGGGGGACAAGCAGCTGGACTTCACCTACGAGATGACCAAGCAGGCGTTTGTTGCGGGGGGCTCGAGTGGGGAGCAGCTCCACGTCCCCCATCACATCTCGGATGTTCTCTCAGATATCACCTACTACGTGTACACGGCCCGCAGGACACCCAAGGCAGTGCTGTGCTGCCACGTGAGGTCCCAGTGGGAGCCCAACGAGTACCCAGCCAGCATGGAGCGCATGCAGAGCTGGACACCTGACGAGTGCATCCCAGAGTTTTACACAGACCCTTCCATCTTCCGCTCCATCCACCCCGACATGCCCGACCTGGATGTGCCGTCGTGGTGCAGCTCCTACGAGGAGTTCATCGAAGTTCACCGCATGCTGCTGGAGAGCCGGGAGGTCTCCCAGGACCTGCACCACTGGATTGACCTCACGTTTGGCTACAAGCTGCTGGGGAAGGATGCAGTCAAGGAGAAGAACGTCTGCCTCCACTTGGTTGACAACCACACGCACCTGACCACCTACGGGGTCGTGCAGCTCTTTGACCAGCCCCATCCCAGGCGCATGGTGGGACCTGCCTACACTCCTGCTGAAGCTCCAGCCATTGCCCGGCCTCTGCTCCAGAACATCCGGGAGACCGTGGTTTTGGAGGACATCCAAGGCCAGGTGACAGATGCAGTCAACGGGCTGGTCCTGGAGGCTACTCCCAGTGAAATCACCTTGTCTGGGGAGAAACCCATGGCTGGTGAGGATGATTTGGAGCAAGGCACAGAAGCCCTGGATTCCATTTCTGCTCCTGGGAGAGCCCCTGACCAGCCCTGTGCCACTGTGCCTCCAGCACAGCCCTCCACCCTCCCTGCTTATGTCACCGAGGGCAAATCCTCAGGGGTCCGGCCACTCCGTCGGAGCAAGGCAGGGGCTGTGGATCAGCTCGACATGAAGATCACGCTTCCTGAAGGCTTCAACCCGCTCCAGGCCCTGGAGGAACTGGAGAAACTGGACAATTTCTTGGTTAAAGGCTTAAGCAGCGAGATGCAGCTGATGGAGCAGCCGTGGGAAGAGCCACCCTTGGGTCTCTCAGACCTCTTCCAGAGGGACATGCAGGCTCTGGGCATCCTGGTAGCTGAGATTATATTTGCACCGAGGCTTCGTCCCTCGAAGCCGGACGCGTCGCTGTTGGAGCGGTTCCTGATGGTGAGGAACCTCTGCCGTTACCATCCCAAGGAGATCCCGGCCCCGCTGCAGCACGTGCTGCATGTCCTGCTGCAACTGAGCGTGCCCGTGGAGAAGCTGCTGAAGAGCAGGCTGGGCAAGGGCACAGTGCAGTTGTTTGAGTACAAACCCATCTCCCAGGGCCTTCCCCCACCCTGTCCCACGCAGCTCCTCAGCCCCTTCAGCTCCATTGTCCCCTTCCCCACATACTTCCCAGCTCTGCACAAGTTCATTTTCACCTATCAGGCAAAGAAGATCGAGGATGAAGGGCAAGGCCGGGAGCTTGTTTTCCAGCTGTGGCAGCAGCTGGAGGGGATCCTTGCTGAAATCACTCCTGAGGGCCTGGAGATTCTTCTGCCTTTCATATTATCTCTGATGTCTGAGGAAAACACCGCTGTCTACGCAGCCTGGTACCTCTTTGAACCCATAGCTAAATCCCTCGGGCCCAAGAATGCCAATAAATACCTGCTGAAACCCCTGATCGGAGCCTACGAGACGCCCTGCTCCCGCCACGGCAGGTTCTACCTGTACACAGACTGCTTTGTGGCCCAGCTGATCGTGCGCCTGGGGCTGCAGTCCTTCCTCCTGAACCTGCTGCCCCACATCCTGCAGATCCTCGTGGGCATCGAGAGCTCGCGGGAGGAGAGCAAATCCTTCCTTGGCACTGCTGAGGACGATGAGAGCGGAGGGGAGAGCCCTGTGTCATGTGTGTTTGGGGAGGAGATCAAGATGGACGTGGAGCACAGCTCTGCTGCGCTTGACCTGCTGGACTACACCTCTGGTGTCAGCTTCCGTGACCAAGCCTACCTGCCTGAGGGTGAGGACTTCCAGAGTGGCCTCTACGTTGGGGAATCCCTGCAGCCCCAGGAGCAGGAATCGCTCAGCCTCGGCCGGCTGAGTGACAAGAGCAGCGCCAGCGAGGTGTCCTTGGGCGAGGACAGACCTGCAGATGGGGACTCCCAGAAGGACAAGAGCAGCTTGAAGTCGATGGACAGCAGCCAGGACCTGAAGCAGAGCGAGGAGTCAGAGGAGGAGGAAGAGGAGCACGAGGAAGAGGAGCACGAGGACGCGGTGGTCGATGCAGAGCTGACGGTGGTCGTGGATGCTGCTGGGGCCTCTGTGGATGTCACCCTGGCTGATGACAGCAGCGAGCCAGAGGATGGGGAGGGAGAGGAGCTGCCGGATCACCCTGATGACAAAGAGCAGACCATACTGCTGGGTAAGACCCTGTCAGTGTCCAGGCTGTTGGGCAGAGCCTGGGGAGAAGCAGATCCAGATTTGGGGGTGTTTGTGGTCCCAGCTTGGGGACAGTGATGAAACCAGGCTGAGAGACCAGGACTGCATGTGGCTCTGAGAGTCAGGGTTGGGACAGCAGGGACTGCTAGACTGTTAGATAGCTAATCTGTGCCGTGCTGGGCGCTGTCCTTGGGACTGCTGTTGTTTTGCAGACACAGCCTGTAAGATGGTGAGGTGGCTCTCAGCCAAGCTGGGCCCGACCGTCACGTCCCGCTTCATCGCCAGGAACCTGCTGCGGCTGCTCACGTCCTGCTACGTCGGTAATAACGCCTCTCCCGGGGTCCAGGGTGGGCTGTGCCCCCAGTCTGTCTGCTTGGGTGTGGCTGCTGCTTCAGCTCGTGGTGTGTTGTTCTCTGGGCAGGCCCGACCAGGCAGCAGTTTGTACCGAGCAGCGATGAGAACAGTCCCCTGAGCACAGGAAATATCTACCAGAAGCGGCCGGTGCTGGGAGATCAGGTGTCCAAGGCTGTGCTGGCCTGCCTCGTGCACGTGGCATATTTGTATGGAGAGCCTGTCCTCACCTACCAGTACCTGCCCTACATCAGCTACCTGGTCAGTATTGCCTTTTTCTCCTCTCTGTTGGGGTAAGAGCTCTGTCCAGGCACAAAGGAAAGACGTAAAAAAAAATAGTCCAGCCTCACCAGGAGTTTCTTTGTATAAACTGAGCTTGGCTGGGCTCTGTCTGGGCCAGTATGGGCTGAGCAGCTCTGGCTGTGTTGGCTGAGAAGGGCAGGAGAGGCACTTTCACCTCCTGCCACAAGCTCCAGACTGCTCCCAGCAAAGCACACAGCTGTGTTCATACACCTCTTTCCCTGTCAGACCCTGTGAAAGCGGAGAAAAAGCATTTATTCTGCTTTTCTGTGCCCAAACAGAGCTGGCACAAGGGTGGGATTGTGATAACAGGCAGGAGGAGCAGCTTGTGCTGCTGTGAGATTGCTGGAGTGAGTGTTCACAGAGGTCTGTGTGGGGAGATAGGGCTGAACTGGGGGGAGACCAACGGGTTTTTGACTGAATAAAAAGCACTGGCAAGGCTCACCAACTTTTCAGCTTGAAGTTCATAGCAAGAAGGAAATGTATAATGCAGCTGGTTGAAAAACTTAATTTTTCATTAAAAAGAAAAAGGGTTTGAATGTTTTAAACAGGCTTATTTTTCATATTGTTCCCTCTTTAGTGGTTGTAAACACTTTGGTTATGGATTCTTGTTTAAATGGAAAACTTCAGTAGCTTTCTGATAATTTAAACATAGAGGAAAAGAGGCCACAGCTGTTCATTTAAAGAAAACAAATAGGCATTGTCAGTTTTTCCAGTGTTGAAGGGGAGACTTTTCAGGGGAAAAAATCCCATTTTTCAGCAAAAATCATTCTCCACCCAGTTGCAATCATAGCTCCAGCTGTTG